AGGCTGAGGCGGCTGGGATCACCTGAGGTTAGTATCTCAAGACCAGCCTGACTACCATGGAGAAACCTCATCTCTACTAAAAAATACAAAATCAGTCAGGCATAGTGGCGCATGCCTGTAATCCCAGTTACTCGGGAGGCCAAGTGAGGCAGGAGAATCACTTGAACCTAGGAGGCAGAAGTTACGGTGAGCCAAGATTGCGCCATTGCACTCCAGCCTGGGCAACAAGAGCGAAAGTACAACTCAAAAAATAAAATAATAATAATAATAATAATAATTCTCTCTGTTGAAGTAACCAGTCTGATATTCTGATTAGAACCCAACAGACACAACTGTTCATAGAATGTAACAGCATTCGAGGCATCTTTCCTCTCATTTCCTATAAATCCTTAGACTAAAGGCACATCAAACAATTCACACCCTGTGGATAACAGCAGGTTTTGCTATCAAATGCAGGTGTTCAAGCCCAACCATGCTACTTTCTAGCAACCATCAATGGTGCTGGATTGGTGTGAAGATTCAATTAAGTAACTGCCAATACAACACTGCCTGGATCAAGCACTAAGTACAAGCACTAAACCATTCCTCTTTGTATGTCTCTTTATCAGGAATATTCTCCACTCCAATCTCCAAAAGAGACTGTAGTGTACCCATTTCCTACTGAAAATTCTTCATTCTTCAATAGTGAAGCCCTAGACAGTCCCACTTTTTACATATATCTTTAGGCACTGTTGATCATCCCATTTTGTGTGCTTCTTATATAAGTGTGTACATTCTTTGCATTTAACATCAGCTTTACTGAGATATAACTTGCATACAAAAGGCAACATTTTGAGTGTAAATTTTGATTAATTTTGACAAATTTATACACTCATTTAACAACCACTAAAATCTAGATTTAAACAATCTCTCCAAAGATGTCTTTGGTGCCTGCCTGCTCCCTCCCTCTCAGTCAATTTCCCCCAAACCACCACAGCCAACAACTATTTAAGTTTTCTGTTAGTACAGATCTGAATGATCATTTCTAGAATTTCAAATAAAGGTATCACAAACTCTATGCTCTCTTTGTGTCAGGCATCCTTTCCTCAGCATATTTCCTGTAAGCAATCTTATTAAGGCTTAATTTACATACAAACAAGTGAATATATTTAGAATGGTCAACTCAGTGAGTTTTGACATCTACATACACTTCTGAAACAACATTAATCAAATACTGACCATTTTCATCACCTACAAAAGATTCTTGTGCCCCTTTGAAGCCCATCCTCCTTCATGCATTATATATTATTTTGTATTTGCTTCTTTGACTTAGCATGATTTTAAGATTTATCCATGCTGCGTCTATCAGTTCATTCCTCTGCACTGCTGAAAATTATTCTATTATAGTCACGTGCAGTGTGATGATGTTTCCGTCAACAATGAGACCCATATACAATGGGGGTTTGATAAAATTACATTGGCACTGAAAATCTGATTGGCCTAGTGACATCTCGATGATCCTGACACTGTGCAGGCCCTAGGCTAATATGTGATTGTGTTTCAGTTTTTAACAAAAAGGTTTTAAAAGTAAAAAAAAAAATTTTTTATTACTAACAGATCTTAGTAATTAGAAAAAATCTGAGTACAGATTTTTTAACTTGAAAGTAACAAGTAACCAGCCGGGCGGATCACGAGGTCAAGAGATCGAGACCATCCTGGACAACATGGTGAAACCCCGTCTCTACTAAAAATACAAAAAATTAGCTGGGCATGGTGGCGCGTGCCTGTAATCCCAGCTACTCAGGAGGCAGAGGCAGGAGAATTTTCTGAACCCAGGAGGCGGAGGTTGCGGTGAGCCAAGATCATGCCATTGCACTCCAGCCTGGGTAACAAGAACGAAACTCCGTCTCAAAAAAAAAGTTACAAGTAAAAATCAGAGATACTTGATTTGAGTACTGTTATGAGTTCTACCACTTACAAATTAGCTGTGAACAAGTACGTAATTATCCCAATATTGGTTTTCTTATCTATGAAGTAGAAAAATAAAATAGTAAGAGTACCCAACTTACAAGGTTGTGTGATAATTAAATTAACTAATCTTTGCAAAGCCGACACATCTCAATCCACTGCAATGCATGAACTGCTAACTAAATCTAACTGACTTGGTTAAACTTGTATTTGCAAATTCACGAGTAGGATCAAGAATAAAAGAATAGTCATGGTTGACGGGGCATTTTCTCAATGTCTTAGAAAAAGAAATGCAGTGAAATACCATTTTTACTATCAGAAAAGACAAATTTTCAAAATATGTTTTCTGTTCATCTTCACCTACATTCTACTATCCAGGAAAAAGGTAGCAGTTATGTGATGCTAGTGGACAATACAGCCTGAGAAGTAGGACAATTTGCTAATATTAATACCCAATACAAATTGTGATGTAAGTATATGAAAGAATGTGTATAAATTCTGGATAGTTAGTGCTATGCTGTAGGGATGTCTGCTAAACAATGCAGCAGTCTAAAGTAGGTGGGTGTCCATGTCTTCCAGTTTATTAATGGCCTTCTGGTCAAGTTCTTCAGACAAACATCTATAATTCATTTAAAGAAACAGGAATTTCCAGACTAGGTACGGTGGCTCATGTCTGTAATCACAGCACTTTGGGAGGCCAAGGCAGGTGGATCATGATGTCAGGAGTTCAAGACCACCCTAGCCAAGATGGTGAAACCCCATCTCTACTAAAAATACAAAAATTAACCAGGCATGGTGGTGGGTGCCTGTAATCCTGGCTACTCGGGGGGCTGAGGCAGAGAACTGCTTAAACTCGAGAGGCAGAGGCTGCAGTGAGCTGAGATCGCACCACTACACTCCAGCCTGAGCGACAGAGTGAAAGGAAGGAAGGGAGGGAGGGAGGGAGGGAGGGAGGGAAGGACGGAGGGAGGGAGGGGAAAGAAAGGAAAGAAAGAAAGAAAAGAAAGAAAAGAAAAGAAAAGAAACAGGAATTTCCAGGCTGGACAATGGCTCATGCCTGTGATCCCAGCACTTTGGGTAGCCAAGGTGGGCAGACTGCTTGGGCTCAAGAGTTTGAGACCTGTCTGGGTAACAGAGGGAGACCTCCGTCTCTACAAAAACTACAACAAAAAACAGCTGGGCATGGTGGTGTGCACCCATGGTCCCAGCTATTTGTCGGGCTGAGCTGGGAGGACTGCTTCAGCTCCGGACATCAAGACTGCAGTGAGCTGAAATCATGCCACTGTACTCCAGCCTGGGTGACAAAGACGCTGTCTCAAAAACAACAACAAAAAAAGAAATTTCTACCATCTAAAAATTCTTTGTTCCACGTTACCATTTTTTTTCCTATGTTACTATTTTAACCCAAATGCCAAATTTATAAAACTGACCAAAACCAAAACCAAAACCCCCAAAAAGCACAATATCTTTCAAAGGTATTCATAAGGAGTCCGTCTGAGTTATGTGACTGTCCTACTCTCCACCCTGACACATTAGTAAGGAGAAAATAAGACAGACAACCTGACCTTCTCATACATTTTCAAATATACTCATCCCTGTCCCCACGCATAAGGTTCTTAGATTAATTGCTAATTTTCTCAAAGACTCAATCTTATATAACAATATTCCAACTTAACCTATTATGTAAAAAGACAATTTTAGCGTTCTAGTTCAGCACCATTCATATGTGAATTACATGTAACATTTAAGGTCAGCTATAAAATCAAATGCTTAAATGCTTATTTCAAAAACTGTTTTTTCACCCATATTGTGGAGGAAAAAAAATTTATTTATTTATTTATTGAGATGGAGTATTGCTCTGTCCTCCAGGCTGGAGAGCAATGGCATGATCTCGACTCACTGAAACCTCCGCCTCCCAGGTTCAAGTGATTCTCCTGCCTCAGCCTCCATGTCCAGCTCCTTTTTGCAGTTTTTGTAGAGACAGGGTTTTACCATGTTGGCAGGGCTTGTCTTGAACTCCTGACCTCAGGTGATCCACCTGCCTTGGCCTCCCAAAGAGCTAGGATTACAGACACAAGCCTCTGCACCCAGCCAAAAAAATTTGTGTGTAATATGCTTCTTCATATACTAATAAAAAAAATCATGTATTTAAAGTTCTGTCATTAAAAACTTAAAACTTACCTAACAAGTTCTTTGAAAAGAAATGCTTCCATAACTGGCTGGGTATGGTGGCTCATATACCTGTAGTCCCAGAACTTTGGGAGGCCAAGGTGGGCAGACCCCTTGAGCCCAGGAGTTTGACACCAGCCTGGGCAATATGATGAGATCCCACTTCAAAAAAAAAAAAGTTCCCAACACTTTTTTTTTTTTTTCTTGGAGACAAGGTATCGCCTAGGCTGAAGTACAGTGGCACATTCATGGCTGATTGCAGCCTCAACCTCCTGGGTTCAAGCAATCTTCTGCCCACCTCAGCCTCCTGAGTAGCTGGGACTACAGGCATGCACTAACACATCCAGCTAGGTTTTTTTTTAATTTTAATTTTAATTTTTTATTTTTTGTAGAGACAGGTTCCCTTTGTTGCCCAGGCTGGTCTCAAGCTCCAGAGCTCAAGTGATCCTCTTGCCTCGGCATCCCAAAATGTTGAGATTATAGGCATGAGGCACCATACTCTGCCTGCCCAAAACTTCTGGTAATGAAGTCTAAGATTATACAGTCTCCAAAACATTAAAGAGGAGACACGACTAGAGGAGGAAGGAAAGTACAGGAAAGGGAAAAATAGGTATTTCCCACTGTATTTACAACTTTGTGCTAACTTGAACACAGTACTTTCTGGGCTATCCTCAACCTTGGCTACTCAGCAGAATTGCCTTTTGAGGTGCTTCAGAATGGATGCTAAGGCTATAACCCTAATCTACCAAACAAGAAACTTTGCAGAAATAGGACCAGGTGCCCCTTTTTCTCTCTTTTCTTTTTTTTGAAGTTCCTCTAGTGGATGACACATGGCCTTTCAGGCTGAGAACTATGAAAGAGGCAGGCTACTAGTTAAAAAATACCTTGATCTGCTGTCTTCGTAGCATGGCAAGTTCTCTCATGTCTCGGAATGGCTGTAGTAAATACTGATAGAGTTCAGTTGTAGCTTCCGCAAGACTGCTGTAGGCTTCATCCTCCAACTGATACAAATCCAGAAGCTCCACCATGCTCTCTGTATTCTTGTGCTTATCCAAGAGCTGTGGAACAAGACAGTTTCACAAATAACGAAAATCAATTCTATATGAAGGAACGAAGTGGGATAAGAAAAAAAAAAGAAGAAAGAAAATCAATTCTAATAACCTATAAATACTTGCTCTGAACTCCCTCCCTATCATGCGAGGTCCTCGGAACCCCAAAACACAGAAGCAAGAGGGAACTAAAAGCACTGACTGTTTTTCATCAATATCTCCATGCTTCAGATGTCTCAGTACTCAAGACCTTTGTCTGAATCACTCTTTTGAGGCTCAATGTACTGAGCTTAGCCTTAACTCTTCCAATTTTTTTCCCCTTTTTTTCTGAGACAGGGTTTCACTCCTGTCACCCAGGCTGGAGTTCAATGGTGTAATCTCCACCTCCTGGGCTCAAGTGATTCTCCTGCCTTAACCTCCCACGTAGCTGGGACTACAGGCACATACCACCACAACTGGTTAGGTTTGTTAGTGTTTTTTTTTTTTTTTTTTGTAGAGATGGGGTCGCACCATGTTGCCCAAGCTGGTCTCAAAATCGTTGGCTCAAGAGATCCGCCCTCCTCAGCCTCCCAAAGTGCTGGGATTATAGGTATGAGCCACTGCACTGGACCCCCAATTTTTTTCTACTATCTAGTAGGAAAAAAATCATCTCAATCTGGAACATTTCCAATAAATTTCTTCAATTTCTACTTGTCACCTCCTTCAAAATCATGGTCAGGCACTGGCATAGGAGTTGGACATACAAAAACATGTTCCTGGTCCTCAAGAGTTTATAGTGTAGTGAATAAACAGAAAACAATTATTAATTAATTTTATTTTATTTTATAAAAAAATTATTCTTTCCCAATGGTATTTCAAGAGATAAAGATTCCAAATTGTGATAAATAGTATGAAAATTATAAATAAACGTTTTAGAAAAGAATGAGGCTGGGTGGAGTGGCTCATACCTGTAATCCCAACACTTTGGGAGGTCAGGTTAAGAGGACTGCTTGAGGCCAAGAGTTTGAGACAGGCCTGGGCAATGCAGTGAGACCTTGTCTGTATAAAAACAATAATTTGCTGGGCACAGTAGCTCACAACTATAGTCTCAGCACTTTGGGAGGCCGAGGTCGGCAGAACACAAGGTCAAGAGATTGAGACCATCCTGGGCCAATATGGTGAAACCCTGTATCTACTAAAAATATAAAAATTAGCTGGGCATGGTGGCACCTGCCTGTAGTCCCAGCTACTCAGGAGGCTGAGGCAGGAGAATCACTTGAACCCAGGAGGTGGAGGTTGCAGCGACCTGAGATGGCACCACTGCACTCAGCCTGATGAAAGAGCAAGACTCTGTTTCCAAGAAAAAAAAAACAAAAACAAAAGAAAACAAAAACCAAAAAATCAGTATCCAGTAATTTAATCTTAAACAAGATTTCTTGGGAGAAAAAATGTAAAAATTAGCCGGTAGTCCCAGTTATGGGAGATTGAGGCATAAGAATTGCTTGAGCCTAGGAGGACGAGTCTGCAGTGAGCCAAGATTGTGCCACTGCACTCTAGCCTAGGTGTCAAAGTGAGACCTTGTCTCAAAAAACAAAACAAAACAAAACAAAAAAAGTGGCTGGGCACAGTGGCTCACACCTGTACTCCCAGCACTTTGGGAGGCTGAGGCAGGCAGATCACTTGAGATCTGGAGTTTTAGATCAGCCCGGCCAACATGTGAAACCCTATCTCTACTAAAACTAAAAAAAATCAGCCAGGTGTGGTGATCAGGAGTTTTAGATCAGCCCGGCCAACATGTGAAACCCTATCTCTACTAAAACTAAAAAAATCAGCCAGGTGTGGTGATCAGGAGTTTTAGATCAGCCCGGCCAACATGTGAAACCCTATCTCTACTAAAATTTAAAAAATCAGCCAGGTGTGGTAGCACACACCCATAATCCCAGCTACTGGGGAGACTGAGGCAAGATAATCGCTTGAATCTGGGAGGTGGAGGTTGCAGTGAGCCAAGATTGTGCCACTGCACTCCAGCCTGGGTGACAGAGTGAGACTCCATCTCAAAAAGTAAGTAAATAAATGAAAATAACAAATGAAAAGAACTAATATAGTAAGACAACAATTTACATATTTAAACTTGGACTCATTTATCTGGTGGCAGTATCATCTCCCTAAAGGCATAAAATTCTATTTCTTTTCACACCTGTAAGTTTCCACTACTATCTTTCTGCCCACTTATTTGCTTTTTAGCTAACATATCAGTTCATATATGTAACTATGCTGAATTGAGACTTCAGACTCATTCCCTGTTCAGATTTTTGGCACAATTATGTAGCAGCACCTGTATTATTGACAATCATGATAAATCAGATACTCTACATTAAAGTGCTTTTATAACAAAGAAATGCCAAACAAATATTAGCTATCAATCTGTTTTTTTTTAAGGCCACTATTAAAGCTAACGGGGAGAACTGACTCTTGCCAGTATTAGTTGAGCAGTTCTATCAAACCAAGTTTTGTCACTGATGAAAACAAAAAACTGTGGGGTAAAATATTACAAAACAACTGCCTGTAGGCACTGCAGAGTGACTAAAATAGCTATAAAATGGAAGGGACATCAACAATACCTTGGAAGCAGGGAGGGCTCTAGGTGGTTTTTTAATTCATGCTCAGCCTGAGGGTATGCCCCAGTGGATGCCAGAAGAAGGGGAGAGGTATGGCTAAAAGAAACCCACAGTCTTGCTAGCTTGAAGAATCTGAGGACAGAGTTCAGGATGACCACAGCAGCTAGAAAGCCAGAGGACAATGCTGAAAAGGAGACAGACTAAGAAGAAGAAACTCCAAATTTGTATATAAACTCTACTCAAATTTCTGGTGCTCACAGGAACTATCATGCACAGGACAGGTACTAAGCAATCCAGATTAAACAAAACAGTAAATATTTCATCTACTTCCTTCTGTAAAGAAGTTATAGAGTTTGACATTTGAATCCAATCAACTTTACTGCTGAAAAGACTAAAATTCAGCAACTCTGAGGGAACATAACAGAATTCAGAGACTCTACAACGTATCCTTCGCAATGTCTATACAAAGAAATAGAAAAACAAAACTCAGTCATCAAAAAGCAATCAATGGGGCAGGTAGGGTGGATCAAGCTTATAATTCCAGCATTTTGGGAAGCAAAGACAGGCCTCCCTGTCTTCCAGTACTTTGGGAGGCGAAGACCCTTGATATAATTCCAGCACTTTGGAAGGCGACGACCCTTGAGGTCAGGAGTTTGAGACCAGCCTGGGCAACATGGTGAAACACTGTTTCTACAAAAAATATAAAAATTAGCCAGGTGTGGTGGAGCATGCCTGTAGTCCCAGCTACTCGGGAAGCTGAGGCACGAGAATCACTTAAACCCAGGAGTTTGAGGTTGCAGTGAGCTATGACTGAGACACTCCAGCCTGGGAGAAAAAGCAAAGTCCTGTCTCTTAAAAAGAGATGAACTGGGCCGGGCGCGGTGGCTCAAGCCTGTAACCTCAGCACTTTGGGAGGCTGAGGCAGGTGGATCACGAGGTCAAGAGATCGAGACCATCCTGGTCAACATGGTGAAACCCCGTCTCTACTAAAAATACAAAAAATCAGCTGGGCAAGGTGGTGTGTGCCTGTAATCCCAGCTACTCAGGAGGCTGAGGCAGGAGAATTGCCTGAACCCAGGAGGCAGAGGTTATGGTGAGATCGCGCCATTGCACTGCAGCCTGGTTAACAAGAGCGAAACTCTGTCTCCAAAAAAAAAAAAAAAAAAAAAAAAGAGAGATGAAGTGGTACAATATTAACTCTAAGTATGGTTTAATCTCTATGGCAATCACTAAAAGAATAATAATTTAAGAAGGTATAGCTATAAGTCCCAATATGTTAACGTTATTAAATTAACACAAAAGAATCAGGAAAACAAGAAGAGAAAAAAGAAGTAAAAACCACAGGATATTTTCATATACATACCTCTGTGTCAAAAAAAAAAAAAAAAGGAAAGAAACCAAAACAGAAGATACAAAGAGAAAACAAACCGACCTAAATCCAACGTTGTCGAGAATTATATGAAATATAAATGGACTAAACTCTTTAAAGGTACATTATTGAAATGGATAAAAAAGGAAGCTAAAGTTATATGTTGCCTATAAGAGATGAATATTAAAAACAAAGACACAAGGCCAGGCACTCATGCCTGTAATCGCAGCACTTTGGGAGGCTGAGAGGGGTAGATTACCTGAGGTCAGGAGATCGAGACCATCCTGGTTAACATGGTGAAACCCCGTCTCTACTAAAAATACAAAAAATTAGCCAGGTGTGGTAGCACACACCTGTACTTCCAGCTACTCGGGAGGCTGAAGCAGGAGAATCCCTTGAACCTGCGAGGTGGAGGTTATAGTGAACTGAGATTGCGTGACTGCAGTACAGCCTTGGTAACAGAACGAGACTCTATCTCCCCCTACCCAAAAAATAAATAAACAAATCAAAAGAAACAAATAAGTTGAAAGCAAACAGTAAAGTGTAAGAAGGCTGGAGGAACTATATTAATATCAAAGAGTACACTGTAAAATATAGAGTAATACTGCAGATAATGCAGAATTATTTTTTTTTTTTTAAAGACAGTCTCCTTCTGTCCCAGGCTGAAGTACAGTGGTGGGATCTTGGCTCATTACAACCTCCTCCGGGTTCAAGCAATTCTCCTGCCTCGGCCTCCTGAGTAGCTGGGATTACAGATGTGTAACACTAAGCCTGGCGAAGTTTTTGTATTTTAGTAGAAACAGGGTTTCACCATGTTACCCCCAGGGTGGTCTGAACTCCTGCAATCCATCTGCCTCCACTTCCCAAAGTGCTAGGATAATAGGCGTAAGCCACTGTGCCCAGCCCAGAATGTTTTATAAAGACAAAGAGTCAATTCAGCAGGAAGACAAAACAATCATATGTGTACATACCTAATAATAGAGCTTCAAAATACAGTAAGTTATAATGGAAAGAATTTTTAAAAAGAAGGAAGCAAGTTCACA